GAGCGGAGCCCCGGGCCGAGGGCCGGAGCCCCGGGCCGAGGCGGGCGCGAGGCCTCTTCGGCGCCTAGCTTGGGGCGGGAGCCGGTTACTGGCCGTGCGTGAGGAAAGGGGCTGCCGCGGTCCGGGAATGGCCTGGCCTTAGCCAGCGCCGCGGTTGTCCCCCGTCATCGCTGCGCCGTCATCTGGATCCCTGAAAACAGCTGCATGAGAACACCTGGGAGATGCTGAGCTGTACAGTGGGATTTTAAGTATAAAAATTTAACATAGTGTGTAATTCATATTATTGTGACTGATTATGCGTTATTTTTCTTAGTTAAACTATAAACATGAAGAAATTAAAGCTTAAAGAACTGGAAAGCTGTCTTCAACAAGTTGATACTTTTGAAAGTCCAAAACTACTTCTTGAACAGTATCCAACGAGTCCTCATATCGCAGGTAGAGGTTACCTACAGCACTGTTGTCTTTTACTAGTTCTTCATCAGCACTTTAAAAAAAAAAAAAGTGTTTCGACTGCATTGTCTCCTTTGAAGCCTTTACACTAAAAGTAGTTGAGAAATTGTATCCAGGAGGAATGAAATTAATTATTTTTTAATTCTCTGTTAACTTCTTTTCATTAGAAGTATACCGTTAATGTACAATCCAAAAATCAAGTAAATTGATTTAGAAGATAGATAATGTTGTGATAGAAACATCTTAATCTGTAAATGAGAAAGCTGAAATGGACTTATTTCATGACACAAAAAACAGTAAAAGTGTATATACAGACACTCACCCATACCTTAAATGTGATTTTTTCCAATATTTTACGTCTTTCTATTGTTTTTCCCCAGACAAATTTAGAGGCATGCTTTTTCCACAAACAATACTCACAGCTCTGTGTGTAATCTCTCCACCAAAGGTCTAGAGTTCTCTAATTCATCAAAATGTTTTTGACTTGTTTTCACGTATAAATGAAAAAGAATTACAGGCAGTGAGAACATCAGCTTAATTTTGCATGACAAGAAACCTTAATTTCAGAGTTTTCTGAAGGCAGAAGTAGCTTTTCTTGATTAATCAGACGCATATTTGATATTACTGACCTGTGGTTTTTTTTTTTTCCCCCAGCATGTATGCTTTATACAATTCACAATACTTTTGATGATATTGAAAACAAAACAATTGCAGATTTAGGATGTGGTTGTGGCATGCTCAGCATTGGAAGTGCAATGTTAGGAGCAGGGTAAGTATTTAATACCAAGTTCTCTTTGTGTTTTTTTCTGGCATAGAAGAGTAGAAAGTAAGATCAGAACATAGCAGTGCTGAACTAAACTAATTTTAGGTATCTAATCTGGTGCATAATGAGGCTATTTAATATGTTTAGACAGTTAATAACCATTCAAATAGCGGAAGAGATAGACATGAATGGAATGCCATGAATTTGGAAGTGATAATGTTTGCTTTCCCCTGAAGCACTAAATGAACGCATGAAACTTCCTTCACAAACTTTAAAAGGATATTTGAGAAAGGGCGACAGAGCTACTCGCATTTTTATCAGCACTGAATTTATAGTGTCTGCTTGTTACATTTCCTAGATAAAACAAGTTGTGTACACAGATGCCTTTCAAAACTTTACTGTAGACTTCAAACACCATTTTAGTTTGCAGGAGACTAATATGTGGCACTTTTTTTTTTTTAATAGATTGTGTGTGGGGTTTGACATAGATGCCGATGCACTGGAAATATTTAATAGTAATATTGAAGACTTTGAGCTCACAAACATCAACATGGTTCAGTGTGATGTCTGTTGTTTATCTGACAGCACGTCAGAGACTTTTGACACAGTTATTATGAACCCTCCATTTGGTACCAAGCATAATAAAGGTTCGTAATTCCGAAAGTCAGTTAGAAATTATTAGGAATGAAATAGCAAGGGAAACCCTTTTAATGAAACATCTTCCTTCTTTATTACAATTACGTGTTCTAATTACCTAGAGTTTTGTTGATCTGGAATCAGTTTCCTAAGTACAGATTAACAACTTCATCATTGTAACTAACAATTGCTGGGTATGAAATAAACAATACTAGCTATTTCATATCCCTATCATTTTTATCTTTTACTAAAAGCAATTGGGTACATTTTAGAAATACTTTCTGTACTTTAATGTATTCAGTGCTGTTTCTCAGATAGCTATTACTCCAGAAAAATTGAAGAATGAAGCAGATCTTTAAGTCCTCTAGTTTAAGCTTGCATTTAACAGTTCTAATAATTTCATCATTCTTTTAGGAATGGATATGATTTTTCTGAAAACTGCTTTACAAATGGCAAAAACAGCTGTATATTCCCTTCACAAAACTTCAACACGGCAGGTAAGCCCTTCATTTTAGCAGGGTGAGCATTAACCAGACAATGAAATAGCTGGCATTTAATGATGTTGTCTATAGCTTCACTGATTTGTTCACACCTTTAGGGGGTATGAAACTTGTTTTGGGTAAATACTAATCATGTCAAATAACTGTGATCTCAAACGCATCAAGATAAGTAAGTGATCTAATGTTTCAGCTTGAAAAACAAAAGCACAGGAGATTTCTTAAGTAAGTACAGGGTATAGATGTTTACAAGACAGTGTAGAAACAAACTTTTAAATTTACCTGTATCTATTTAATATTGTAGCACATTCAAAAGAAAGCAGATGAATGGGGAGTGAAGATGGAAGTCATAGCAGGTAAGATTAATTTGTTGTTAAAGAAAAAAAAAATTTGTTGGGGGCTAGTATCTGTAACGCTACTAGCCAGTCTTAACAGCCTGAGGTAAATTTAAGTGTGATTTAACACTGAAAATTACGCAGGTCTTTTTTTAAGCAGCGCCCCCCCCCCCCTTTTTTTTTTTAACATACCTTGCTACCTGGCTAGAATACAAGCAGACACTTAATAAAGCTCTGAGGAATATATATTCTGTGCAGAATTAGAATTGGATTTCTTCCTGGACTAGATTTTGCCTTCAAGCAGAAGTTACCTACCTTCCTGCTTCAAAAGGAGATTGTTGCTGAGTAACAAAAGCAAAGTGCAGGTCAGTCGTCACACAAAAAAGCATCCTGTCCTTATAGTCACCTAAGTATTTTTCTTTAAAGTATCTTCCCGATTCTTAAATATCACCAGCTAGATGCTTTATACAGTCATACAACTTGAGACATGGAAGTTGCACAAGTGCTTGAAACACAACTGCATTTCAGCCATCCACTTACTGATGTGGTTGGCTTAAATGTTCAGTCATAATGTAGTCCAGAGGTCAAAACAGTTATCTAGTCAGGGGCAACAGAGGTGGGCAATAGAAGAACATGAGTGTAGGGTGTAAGTCAATTGACTAACAATCATTCTAGTGTAACAAGTATTCTTCGTACTGTTCACAGAACTTAGATATGACCTACCTGCATCATACAAGTTCCATAAGAAGAAATCAGTAAGTATAAAACCTAACATAACTGAGAAAATGCTCTGTGTTGTACTAGGCAGATAAATAAATTCTACTTAAGAAAATTTAGGTTTTAGGGCCGTATGTACTGGATGAGGAATGCTCACAGCACTTGAGAGAAGTTCACTACGATGGCATCAAGTTCCATTACTGTTACTACATTTTGTAGTTGAACAGGGAAAATAATCATTGTAATGCAAGTCAAAGCTATACACAAAGATTAAAGCCAGCATTGCAACTAGATGTGAAAAAGCTAAGGGTAGCCTCCTTGACCCAACTTTTAATAGTTATTTGCTTGATCCTATCTGCAGCTGGAACTTAGACTGTAATGAAGGCCAGAGTAACTAGGATGTTACAGCTGTAGCATTATTTCAGTGTTCTATGCTCTGTACTGCAAATAGCTACAGCCAGTGAAATCCATCACAGAACCATCTTGGAGGGAGCAGGAGGAAGCTGCACGCTTCATCCCACAATAGAAGATCTAGTCGGGATGCTAGAGTATGGAAGCTTAAGCCCACAGGCAAGTTCCTGGGTGGTGAATGCTGGCCTAGAAACATGTATCCTGCTACCATAGGGGAAGTAGAGAGAGAATCCTGGAGTAGACTGAGCAAGATTTGAAGATTGTTAGGTACGTTGAGTAGCAAAGACTAGAAGTTTTATTCAGCTGTACCTATTCTCTTGGTGACTTGTACTTAAGTGATGGAAGTCTGTCCAGCTTTGCTACTTCACAGTTACAGCTTCATACTACATTAACATCCAGGCTTCAGTAGTAAGCAGTTTTAAGTTCTGAATTTATTGGTAGGTGGTATTTAACATAACCGCAAGATTACAAAGTCCAGAACCTTTTACATCTGAATGAGGTGCCAGAGAAGTTGAGAGGATCTGTCAGTATAAACAAAACTATATAAAAGAGTTTTCCAGGGTGGTATGTTACGAGTAAGCATGCTTATTAAAAAAAAAGAAAGCTGTAACCTAACAAAATGAAGCTTTCCTCTCATTGTAGGTTGACATTGAAGTGGATTTCATTAGATTTTCTGCCAAGAAACTCCTGAGCTAAGGCATGTCTTTAAAACCTACTGAAAATGGAACAATAAAAACAATTATTTTTTTTTTTTATTTTAGTATTACTGATCTCCATCTCCATTTTCTGTTTTCAGTTGTTTTGGTGCAGGTTCTTCTTTTTCCATTTCCTCCAGTGGTCTCTTCTTGGGACTTGCTGGTTCTGCAAGATTGAATACGTAGTCATTTATGGTAAAGGAAAGCATTTCAGTATTACCTGAAATCTGAAAAAACAAACCCTTCGTACCGTGTAGGTTCAAGGATGAGTCCTAGTTTATCCACAGCCACTGCTATGCTAGCGGGTTTACTTATTACTGTGACTTAAAGCTTTTAGATGTTCTAAAATACCAACTTTGAAGAGCTTTCTCCCTGTATAACTTCACAGCAGGAGGGCAGGTAAGATAGAGGAATATAATCTTAACAGGAGTAAGTTTCACTGGGTTTTGTTTAAGCAGGTGCCATATCTACTGGACAGAAGCTTAGCTCTTCATCTTCTCCAAGCTAAATAGCAATATGCAGAACTATTAGTCTTCTCAGATCCTCAAGGAAAAAAAAAAACCACACCACTCAAGAGGCTGGGTCTGTACAGTTGTGTAATGTTGCTGACAACCACCATCTTTCAATGCAGAATGCTTTCAAGAGCCCTGCAGTACAGCCTCGGCTATCTAGTAATTATTTTAATATGCTTTTTGGACAGTTCTGGAATGAATCAAGCACAAAACCCTTAAAGTTACTTCACTGGTACTGACAAGAGGACAGAAACAGTACAATGCAGGGCCAAATCTGAAACACTAAGAAACATGAGTAGTACATGGAGTTACTTTCTGGAGAAGTAAAGAAGCTGCATCCAGTGCACAAAATGACATACCTGCTTTAGTATCATCTTCGCCACCTTCTTCTTCATTCTCAAACTTTATTTTCTTGCCCTGAAACTGTACTTTTCCTTTGTGTGCACCTTGAGGTATCTTTCCCCCTCTTCCTTTTCCTTTAATTTTGCGTCCTGTGGGGATATAAGATGTCAGGAACTTTGTCTTTTAACTGGCAAGCTCAAAAGAATGCTTTACAGTTAGTCAGTGTTTAGTACGTATTCACTATTTACAGTTACTTTCACACAGTGCCACTTCTAGGACATTATAAATGCTTAAACCGATAAAAGGAGGACCTTTTGTTTTCTGTTTCAGCAATTCTTGCTGATCTTCCAATATTTTTTTCAGAGCTTCTTTCTCTGCATCTGCTTCTAGCACTTCCCATGTGACATCCTTGTTCCGAAGCTGTAAGTTTCCGTTATGTGCTGCTTTGGCTTTTTCCAGGGCTTCTTTTGCAATATCCTTAAATAGGATAATTCCCTTGAAAAGAAGAGTGGCATTTGCATTTGAATCTTTCTGCGAAAACATTCAGCTAGAATGATGAACAACATATCCTGTTGGGTACCTCAGCAAGTTCATTACTCTTGCATGATGTAAAATATGTCTAGACCAAAGCAAAACCCTGACTGTCCTAACAAACATTCTCAGTCTCAGTTTTGACCGTATCAACTGAGAAGGCTGGAACCTTTATCAGTTCTTTTGAAAGAATTTAAGGGAATAATTCAATTCTGTAGATATTCTGCAATTCCACAAGTCAAATAAATAATTTATTTGATTACATAAGAGAACAAGCATTTAATCATTCAGTTTCAAACTTTAATACAGAGATCTTAACTCCTTGTCCAAAATTGTACTGACCTCCTTTGCACCTCTGACAAAGTGTATCCATTTGATTTCTCCGTGATCAGAAAATACATCATGGAGATCTTCTCTGCATGTTTGATCATCTAGATCACCAGAAAACTTCAAAAGACATCCTGTCTTTTCTTCCAGAGACTTCTAAATGAAATAAAAAAACGCCACATTTTTGTTGAAGGGTCAAGCTTGAATATTCCTTTTTTTTCCTCCCTGAATCCTAAGACTATTAAAACACGGTAGTGATAAATAAGCAATTGAAGTCACCCCCTTAGCACCATCAGCAACCCAAGCATTCTTGCTACATAGCTTATTTAGGCTGAGTCCCAAGTCTTGCATGGTGTGTCCCCTGCTCCTTTTTTTTTTCTTTTTTAAATTTTATTTGCTTACTACGATACATTTATGTGGAACTTAGGACTCCCTTCCTGTAATAGAGTTACACTCTTTAAATTGTGCAAAACAGTTTTCTGAAGGCTGACGCCTCAGGTTGAAAATCTATGTAATACTAATTAAGTCCTTACTGGATCCTTTAAATACCACAGAAGAACTACCATCTCAGTGGTGCATTTAGGATCACTTCTGAACAGGTAAACATGCCTAATAATTTAAATTCAGGATATGATCCCTTAAACAAAATTAGTCTCTTGAAAATAAGATTAAATACCATGACAAAACCAAGTCTTACTGTATGTTAGTTGGAAAAGCTGAAGTGACTTTCTAGAAGGTGCTCTTTACTATAGAATTTCAAACTCTGAATATCCCATGTTAGCTTTACAAAATGTAGCTGCAGGAGCATGTTTGTTATGTGTGGATTGAAAATCCACACAAAAGCAAGCATTGCACAGTTTTCAGGTATAGAGATTTAAGAAACCCATACCATTTCAGCATCTGCTGCTTGTTTCTGTTTTTCTTCTTTTTCCCTGTAGAAAAGTTAAATTAGTTAAGAGTTGGTTCAGGTGTGATCAGGTGAGCAAAACCAGGGACTTCAATTGATAATGACTTACTGTTTAGCTCTTGCTTTAGCTTCTACTTTGTTTTGTCTCCTTTCTTCATTCTTCTTTGTACAATACTCCTCCCTTCAACAGAATATGAGCTAAGTTAATACCATTTGAAGTATTCCATTATAGTTACTTTATAAGACAGCAGTAGCAAAGAAACAGTTGAGATTATCTTTCGGAGTTGAGATGCTAGTCTCCAAAAGGTACAGCTATCAATACCTCTACAACAGCGTAGAAACTTACACTTCTCAGGTCAAGCCAGGTTCTTGTCTAAATCCACCCTTATTAGTTCATACATCAGTTAAGTGGACTTACTTGAAAAGTACTATCAGCTCTGTGTCTTTGTACTTTTGGTTTGGGATCTCTGTGAACTTCTTAGCAGATTCAACACTATCAAAAACTGCAAATATTGAGCCCTGTTAAATGGTGAGAGACATTCAGTGTTAGACTAATTGAACAGTATGTCATCCAGGAGGGATCCCTGCCCCAGGTCTAACTGTTCATCGCAAGAGCTACCTTAAACGTTCTCTGCAGCGTTCTCCTCATTTGAATGTTTTCAACTGGACCTTTATCCTCAAGCCATTCTTTGATATCATCAAGAGTTGCATCTAGTGGAAAGCCTTTCTGCAAGATAGCAACAAGCTTCAGTTATATGCAACAAACTGACACTTAGTCAGAAATTATCTAGTTATTCATACTATCTAGTATGAATTAATTCAAGCTTTACTTAGATGGTTTTCAAAATCATGCAGAACAGCACAGAGCGAAGGAAGAAGCTTACTTACAACATATACAGATCTGTTTTTAATTGCAGCCTTATACTGGTCATTTAATTCAGGAAGGGGTTTGTTTGGAGATCTTCTGATTTTAGTTTTGTCTTCATTTATTTCCATTAAACCAGTCTTGGATTTTCTTAGCGCTTCTACAATAACACTAAAATCTTTTGAAAGGCGACTTAACCTATTTGAGTAAGCAGGCACAGGTCATTACAAATACACAGGCAAAGCTGAAGCCAAATGTTAAAACAGCAATAGGAGCTGTACATGCAGACCAGGGACATTTGGCCCCAAATAGAGCTAAGTAGCTGACAGTTACCCTTCCATCCAGATTAGCTGTACTTTGGTTTACCTGTTGAATTTGATCATTACTTCTAAAGGCACCCAGCCATCATCTAGTTTGATCTGTTCCTTTAGGAACTTGTCTCTTGGTAGATTGTGATTGCCAAAATAGTACTGCAAAAAAAGAAGGGAGAGGGAGGCAGGGAGAGAGATTTGTCTTTGAATGTTCAGTCTTAAAAGCTGATTTTCATCTGACAACTTACTGCAGTGGATTAAGACATACCAAAATTCATTAATCTGAACAATTAGAAATTCTGAGATTATTACTTCCTGCTTTAACATGATCCTTTTCCAAAAGTTAGCTGCAACACATAAGCTAAAAGCTGGTGCTTCATCCAGTGGGACAATGAGGCAAAGGTAGACTGCAGTTTTGTTTAGGAAAGGCATGAAGCTTATTCTGCTGACGTAATTATTCATCAACCTGATCAAGCTCTGCAGAGTCTAAAGTCAAATTTGTCACCAACAGATTCAGGTTTTAGTCCTTATTTAAGGAACATATAAGCAAGAATATTGTATTTGCCACACTGAGAAATCATACACATAGACTAGAGTTTCTAGGTCTCGTTCAAGAAAATACTGTAAGATAAAAAAATTGTTTTTATTTTAATTTACTATGTTCTCATTTTGATCACGTCCAGCATGGGAAGACAATTTGGCACAAGATAGACACGTTATCAGATTCTTTTGCTTACTAGCAGTCATCTAACTAGGGTCAAATACTTGAAGTCATAGGATAAGTTGGAGCATTTCCACCAATATCATTGTGCTTTAAAAACTCAGTGCAAGTTCTACAACACCACCTCT